GTTGCCCAGCGACAGCCCCAAAACCTGAAAGATCTGGAGAAGACCTGTATGGAGGAGTGGGCCAAAATCCCTGCTGCAGTGTGTGCAAACCTGGTCAAGAACTACAGGAAACGTCTGACCTCTGTAATTGTAAACAAATGTTTCGGTACCAAATATTAAGTTCTATTTTTCTGTTGTATCAAATACTTATTTCATGCAATAAAATGGAAATAAATTATTTAAAAATCTAACTATGTGATTTTCTGGAATTTTTTGTAGATTCTGTCTCTCACAGTTGAGGTGTACCTACGATGAAAATTACAGATCTGTCCATTCTTTGTAAGTGGGAAAACTTGAAAAATCAGCAGTGTATCAAATACTTATTTGCCCCACTGTAGATGTATGAGTGCTGCCAGCATTGCTGCAGAGGTTGAAGGGGTGGGGGGGTCAGCCTATCAGTGCTCAGACCATACGCCGCACGCTGCATCAAATTGGTCTGCAAGGCTGTTGTCCCAGAAAGAAGCCTCTTCCAAAGATGATGCAGAAGAAAGTCCACAAACGGTTTGCTGCAGACAAGCAAGAATAAGGATATGGATTTCTGGAACCATGTCTTGTGGTCCGATGAGACCAAGATAAACTTATTTGGTTCAGATGGTGTCAAGCATGTGTGGCAGTAAACAGGTGAGGAGTACAAAGACAAGTGTGTCTTGCCTACAGTCAAGCATGGTGGTGGGAATGTCATGGTTTGGAGCTGCACGAGTGCTGCTGGCAGTGTGGAGCTACAGTTCATGAATGCCAACATGTACTGTGACATACTGAAGCAGAACATGATGCCCTCCCTTTGGAGACTAGGCTGCAGGGCAGTATTCCAACATGATAACGACCCCAAACACACCTCCAAAACGACTACTGCCTTGCTAAAGAAGCTGAGGGTAAAGGTGATGGACTGGACAAGCATGTGTCCAGACCTAAACCCTATTAAGCATCTGTGGGGCATCCTGAAACAGAAGGTGGAGGTGGGCAAGGTCTCTAACATCCACCAGCTCCGTGACGTAGTCATGGAGGAGTGGAAGAGGACTCCAGTGGCAACCTGCGAAGGTCTGCTGAAGTCTATGCCAAAGAGGGTTAAGGCAGTGCTGGAAAATAATGGCGGCCACACACAATATTGACACTTTGGGCCCCATTTGGCCATTATCACTTAGGGGTGTACTCACTTTTGTTGCCAGCAGTTTAGACATTATTAGGATGATTTCAGTGTTTTTTCACACCTTGATAACAGTGACCAGGAACCTCTTCTCATCCTCCTCGTGCATGGCCCCGCTGATGGATCCAATGGCCCAGCACAGTGTGTTGAGGTTCTTCCATGACCACTCAGTGCCGTTCACCTGGTTGTGAAGCTTCTCTGTCATTATACGTTCTGTGTCTGCGTAGTCCAAGTGAGTGAGATACACTGCAGGATGACAGAGCACAGTTTTATTATCACTGTACAATGACCCTTAAACAAAAACTTGAAGCCTAAAGGTACAAGAGTTACCGGGGACAAAGGTTGCAAAAATGGGCAACACACCCTTACCCTAAAAAACAATCTGCTAGTGTGATGAGCCAATTGCACCAGTGATTGGTGCTCTATGGCTACTTTTTTTACCTTGACAAAGCATAGAGTACAAGTCTAAAAGATACATGTTTAACTGAATCCATCCCAGCAGATACACTCCAACAGTTTCCAATCAATCTAACCTACATGTCTTTGAACTGTGGGAGAAAACAGAGCATTCAGAGGAAATTCACACAGACATGAAGAGAACATGCAAACTGCACAGAGCAACGCTCTGTGCACCGAGCCGTACCAAGGGTTTCCCTCATGTTCTTGTAGAGGTTGATGGAATCTGTGTCCTTCATGAACTCTCTGACCACCTCCCCCTGATCATTCTCCACCACCAGTACCTCCTCCGGCTTGGCCATCCGACTTACCATCAGTAGGCGCACCTGTCACAAGAGATAAAAACCTGTCAGCACATACACACACTGAAGAACTGCCTTGCTCCTCTGACATCACAGTGTACATAGCATCCATGTGGTCACAAATGTTAAAGAATAACACAATGTAGTGTTTGTTTTATGGCTATACTCACACACCACACACACTTATTGAATGTAAAAGCTTATCACCACAGAGAGAAGAAATCTGTTATGCTACTTAACTGGCTGCTGATTTTCAATAACATAACTAGCAACTCTTTGGCAGCAGTTTAGCAGCCACCTGTTGCTTGAATAGAGCCAAATGATTCTAGTATGACTGCAAGCTAAGACTTCTGAAGGCTGTATAACCTGAAACAGCTCTGCAGCCCTGCACACCGACCTTCTGTGCCAGCTTTTCCTTGTAAGTAATAAATGTTTCCAAATTTTTAAAAAATGTCGTATAAATTCAACTACAAATTCCAAATATCTGATTTTGAATTTGTCAGCTGAAGGCCATGACAATGATGAGAGACAATGACAAATCTGTGTGTGTGCTTTTAATAAAGGAGTTTAGTAAAATATAACTGGTTACGTGCAGTACCTTGGAAAGGACAGGAAGATAGAGCTGTCTGCGTGGTGGCACGTCAAAGTGCTGATTGCCTGAGAGCAGGGGGGATGTGGACGTAGAAAAGGGACTCTCTCTGTAGAGCTCAGCAGCCAAGTGGTTCCAATACTCCAGACATATTTTAAAGATCTCTGTCTCTTCCACCTCCGACACCAGCAGCATGTAGTGGAGGGCCTGAAAGAGGACCAAGGGAAGAATAAGACTGTGAATATAGAATTAACATAAAGACAGTTTCTGTTCAACAGACTTGTTTGTTGAATCTGCAATGTGCATTTTCCCCCTTTGCAGCCTTTGTATGTATATAAGCAGTTATACTACTGGGATATGAAGAGTATTGCTTTTCTGTGACTTTGTGTTCTCTCTTACCTCCATTAATGTCTCTCTTAGGTTAAGCCGCTTCTCAATGAGCTGCCCATGCTCTTTAAGGAAAGTACAGAGGAACAGACTGAGGTTCTGAATGAAGTTCTGCTCGTCATCCTTCCCGTTGGCGTAGGCCAGCCGAATGTTGGTGTTCAGAGGCAGCATCTACACAGTATATTTCATTAGTGTCTAAGACCGAGGGGTGTGTCAGGGTTGTTTTATCCAGAGCCATTATGTAGCCCACCTGTTTGAGCTGACACATGGTCAGTGTGAAGAGGGTAACAAACTGCTCCTCGTACTGGCTGACGCTGACACTGGCAATCTCCGTCAGGCACTTCAGAGTCACATTGCGGAACATGGGTACATTCAAGAACTGAACACAGTAGAAACATGTTCAGCTAAAGACCATTTTGATTAAATAGTTCTACAATTAAAGTAAAACTGCTACATTACATTGTGTGCATCTGCATGTCCACACCTTATATACCAATGTGCTGATCAGTTTGGTTTCAAAGATGTAGCCCAGAGGAATCCAGTTGAGAAAACGTAGGAGGGTCTCCAGAGTGGCATGAACCAGTGGGGCATTCTGTGAATTTTCCTAAGATACAACCAATGAGATGACAAACAAGCTGAGGACAAATGTTGGAATGCAACAGAAAATCAAATATTGTACAACAATGCTACAAGTAGATAATGTTGTGCATACCATAACAAACTGGCAAAGCTGGAATATCTGGGAGAATTCATTGCACATGCTGAAAGAAACAGAGAAACGTATTTAAGAACACACAATCTTACTGCAAGCTTCATTTCAGAGAAAGTCTCTTTCAAGATATCAAACTTTATGATGATGTTTACTGTAAAACAATTTATCAATGTGCCTCTTGAAGCAGGTCAGGGTGCGGTATGCTGGACAGAAAGCAATCAAATTAGCTAAACAAGCTGAATTTTGGGAGACAAACGTGCTTGGGGACAGTACGAATCACTTAGTGTGAGTATAGCAGCCGAAAAGGTGCGACACTGTTTGAGCTACACTGGAGTCTGACTTCAACAAAGACAATTTTCTACTCTGCCAACATTTACAACTGAATGTATCTTAAAACAATGAGGTGAAACTTTCCTCCAGTAGGTCAAGATGCATTGAAGCCCGAGCAGAATTTTTGAGAAAGCACACATCCAGAAGAACAAAAAAAGAACTTGTACAGCTTTCCCCTCAGTCTTTTAGGACTTCAACCCCAGTGAACATCTCTGGAAACATTGGAATAAGAAAAGGGCAAAATAATCTGTGGCCAAACCTGGGCAATAGGATGATGGAATATGACATTGACAACAGTTGCTTGACAGACAGATAGTTTGGATATGGGGGAAACAAAGCTTATTCACCTCTGACATCCTGCTTCAGACTGTTTATATCAAAGTTTTCCATGCTGTGCAGCCCAACAGACTGGCTGAAGAGCTCATTTACATACATTAAACATACTGGAACTACACAGATTACTTATAAATCTTATATTAATGCCATCATCCACAACATGTAGGCCTGCACAAGGATAATTAGGATAATGATAAAAAACAAACACATTTCTAAGTTTTTATACAAATTCGTCAGCACTTCCTAAAATGACCATGATTTTGCTTTCCAGGGTTTAAAAAAGTAAGCAGCAGCATGCTGACCTGTCTTTTAGGTGCTTAGCTTTGATCTGGGTCATCTGGCCGCTGGAGAAATCAAAGACCTCTTCACTGAGCAGCTTGAGTATCACCATGTTGTTCTGACAAAGGCTCTCACTGGTACGGCTTGCCCCCACAATGTCACTGATGAAGGTGGGCCAGTGCTTGGGCCACTCCTGCTTCAGGATCTACACACACAGGGGCACACACACATATTGGTGTTACATGGCTGAACAGTGACATTTACCACACAAAAGGATGCGAGATCTGAAAATGAAAAATTTGAGGGGATGAATCTCTTGCTTAAAATGACAATTCCTCCTTTCAATATCCCCAGTTTCTGCTTTGTAGGAGAATGTACTACCAGCAAACAGTAGTAAATACAATGTAACAGTGTTTACAAGCAAACCTCACTAGTACAAATGCAACATACATGTATCCTGCTGAGGACAAGCATGGAATCTGGAGCTCTACAGTGCCTCAAGGCCAAAGCAACGTTAGCTCAGCTGACGAAAGCAGTGACTCACTTGCACTGGCATTAATGCAGAGAGCCAAACTCTCTCTTCCTCACACCAATATACATCAATCAAACACACACATTCAGAATGTGGGCCCCAATAAGGCACTAAAGCCTAATTTGTCAATCTCAAGGCCTTTCTGATATACATACAATAACCTCATAATAGTGTCCTACAGTGGTCCACACTAGTATGCTGATCAGACATCACACAGGAGTGAACATCTCATTTGTACAGCTGAGCATTTGCAGGATTCAGCACTTACCTAGAGTGAGGGTAGAATTATCACTGATCCTATTTGTTATATAACATGTTGTTCCACACTTTAACTGTGTGTCACTGTTGAAACCTTTGCTGGATAAAAACTGCTACATCAATAATGAAAACTTAGAACCTAAGTTTCTATACAAACAAACACAGAGCCTCCACTGCAGCTTTGTCTCTTCAACAAAATCCTCTTTTCAACCAGTGCTGCTGGCTGCCTTGGCTGAAACATTGAAGGAGAATTCATATCTGATTATTAGAAATCATGAATTTAACTGACAGTTTCAGAGTCAGACAGGTTAATTAAGAGTGACATCTTCAGGCTAAAAAGTATCACTACAAAAGCTGAGGGCAGCACCAAGACAGCAGCAAGACCCCCATCCTAACATCCTATATAAAACAAATTTGTCTGTCTCTTTTTATATGACCTCTATAGTGCTGTGTTTCACACAGAGGCATGCTAAAGCATCCAGCATTTAGAGGTCATGCATGTCAAAGACATTTTATCTGTTAATTACTGAATTGCTCTGCATATACCTCCTCACTATAGCTACAGAAAAGCCATTCATTCATAATCCACACCAAACAACTGTAATGATAGAAAATTAATTCACTGGTTTGCAAATACAAAATTACAGTTTAGTAATATTAAGGAATTCACTGACTATCATTTATTTTTGTAGTCATTTACCAAATCTAATCTCAGTTCATCTGATAAACAGCTAACTCAGCTGCCTGTGTGAGAAACTGACCAACCATCCTCACTCAGGAATTTTCTGCACCAGCTACTGGGCCACACTGTTGTATTTTGCTTAACACACTTGGTTATGTATATTATACTCTTGTATAGCACACTCTGTATCAGTAAGTGTGCTCATTCCTCTTCCAGTGTTAGTGGCTTTCAACTGTCTTAGGCAATGAGCAAGATGTGTGTAACTGGCTCCCTGCTATGCCATACTTTCTCGCTGTCAGTGTGGATCCCTTCACTAAAACTGTTCCTGCCACGTCTTTATGCCTCACCACAATTCACTCACACGCAACACTGTGGAGTCAGGAAAACACTGCAGTGTTTTAACAGAGCACAATGAGCTTGTGTATCCATGGTGTTGGGTTACAATAATGGTCAGGCATCATATAAACAATAATGATCATTATATAAAAAAAAAAGCTCATGTCAAACTTGCTGATTGTCATGAGCACTGAAGGCTTACCTGAACAAGGATCATGTTCAGCTTCCCAATGTACACCTTTTCTTTCTAAAAAGTAAAATAAACAAATAATAAAGGAATGTCAGTGAAATCAGTTTCCCAACACAAGCCTTCTGTCATTTCATCATTAATTTGGAGCATGACAAACCAGTTATACTGAAATGAAATCCAGCACAAAATAAGCTTAGAGGCTTAGAGGGCATAAATCAAGCAGTGAGACATTTAAAAGGTGGTATGACTCAAAGGGACAATGACATAATTGAGTTAAATATTATACCTTTTATAAATTGTAAGGATCAGAGTAGATAAACTATTTTAGCTATTGTCAGAAGGGAGTGAAGATGAGTATGGTTTTAAGAGAAGCTTCAGAACTGGCTAATTTAATATGAAAATAAACTTCATAATTCTAATGTGTACTAAAGTTGTGGGTTTTCTGGATGACAGACCATTTAAAGACTTCTTGTACCTGAACGTGAAATCCCAGTTCAAATCCAACCACTATGCAAAAACTTTCTGGTCAGTGTGGTTGGTTCAGTAACCAAAATAAACTTGGTAAAAATCTATGCAGTTCACTTTAATGTTTACTGTTCTGCAGAGCTACTGTATGTACTTGAGACTGATGCAAACACCAGAAACATGCCTGGAGCTGCCTTCTCAACATGAAGCTAAATACAAACAGCCAAGTGTGTAGTATATCAGTTAGAGGTAGACAGCCTTTTTACCTTATTGGGCACCAGCACTAAGTGATTTTTATATGTTACTGCCACCAGGACTGTTCACAGAATGAAAAGGCTGGGCTAGCAATGGCTGCTATTCACTATGAACAAGACCCAGCTTTGCACCCCTGCAGATTTAAAAAGTGTCCAGCAACACTATAGGGGGATGCTGAGGAGCACTCAACTTTATGCCAAAATCCTGACACAGTGCCAGTGACAACCAGGTGAGACCCAGCCACAAACATGCTGATTTCAGCGTTGTTTACTGCTCCACTCCACTATGTGAAGGAGTTTCAAACTAAATGAAGCCACCCACCACAATTTTTCTCTATGCGAGTAACAAGTTACCAGGATATAAAAAAAGAAGAACATAGACAATCCATAGACAACTCACAGTCATTGTTAGTATTGTGACAGTGGCAGATACATCGGAAAACAACTGCCCAGTCAGAGAAGATGATGTAAATGATGTGCGGGCTGCACATAAACAAAATGATAGATTACAATTTAAACTCTGCTTTTTCACAAGAGCTGATTCAGCTCTAGTCATCTAAATTCTAGCTTCTGGTTGAGTGGTCAAGTTGGCCGAAACTCTGCTACTGAACTCGCCATCTTTGGCCTGCATTACAAAGCACTGTGGTTAGCAACATTACTCACAGCAGGCTCGGAGACAGTTTACCTGGCGCTGATGTAACATGGACACAAAACTCTATAAGATTCACTCTAATTAGCTGACAGTGTCTAATGCTAACAAAATCAACAGTCCCTTAGTTGTGGTAAGTAAAACTTTTGACCACATCAGTGCAGGTAGGAGTTAACCCTGACACTCAAAAGCGAGTCCAAATCATTTCATTTAAGAGATATTACAACAGTTATTTGACTGTAGGTGGGGTTTTTTATGTTGGTCCAACTTTAGAAAAAGAGCTTAAATAATAAGCATTCATTTCATGAGAATTATTTTATCTAGATGCAGCTCAGCTGTTACCAATGTGTTGTCAACTTTCACTGTATTAAGTACAAGTCCTATACTAGTGCACATACAATTACACCTAAAGTGTAACTAAGGTTTAAATGTTTTCCAAAGTTTACTCACCTCCACATTTGATGCATCTGATGAAGTCTTGATAATGAGCCCAACAACATACTTTTTTATACCTGGCAATTACACAAATAAAGCAGAAGAACGCCGTTAGCATGTACCAATAAAATATGCAAATCTTAATATATCTCGAGATGACGAGTTGATTAGAGCAGTAACCCCAAAGGTCTGTGCATAAGTAGCTAAAATCAGCCATTGTTATCTGGGTACTTGTGTATTTTAAAGAAGGTGTGGTCCTCCTTCTACCCAGTCTTGCAAAGCCAGCTTGTAAACACTTGGATGTGCTCTACAGCTGCCACTGAACGTCTACAGGGCAAAGCTTTTGGTCAGTGCAAGTTACATTTCTCCATGTGCTGTCACAGTCAAGACTGGCGGTGTGGGCAGAGCATCTTTAAAAACTGTTTTCAGCTCCCTCACATTTGTTTCTAGACTGTAGCTGTGCTCAGTTCTAAAACCTATAAGCTAGGGTGTAGTGAGCAGAGCTGAAAACAAGGCAATACTCTGACACAGGGGTGGAAAAGACATACTTGCCAGTTGCCCTGCACTGGGTTTGCCACTTGAACAAAATTCAGGCATCTATGGTCAGAAGCAGGCAAGTCTTAGGTCAATGAAAAACAATTTTCAGCAAGATGATAAAAAAATGGAGGGAGGCAAAATCCCCATTAGTTTTGTTTCAAAATATTGTTTTTTTTTCTCATGACATTTTTCGTCCCACTGTTTTTAAATTCCTAGTCTTCAAAAATCAAAAGATGATAACAATAGAGAATATATTTTATTTAAAAAACTTAAGATAAACTAAAGTAGAGTTGGCAATTTAAGTCTGACATTTTTAAACCTTACACTTTTGTTAGACCAATATAAAATATTGATATACTGCAACCCTCTAATGTTTCTACCCAATGCCCCATCTATAAAGAAGAATTTATATTGTACAAAAAAACCTCACATATTCATACCTATTCATAATAGGTATTAATGTAAAAGTCAAATGTTTCCTAATTAAAGGCTCTAGGTGGAAGATGAGAATACTTCTGGCTTTGGCAACTCTTAACTGCTGTCATGATTCGGTTCCACTGCTTCCTGTCAGGCTTTTATTTTGACGTTCCTATTTTTTTGTTTCACCACAGTTTCGGTCTTTTTTGTTTCTTCATCACTCACATTAGATTCACCTGCTCCCGATAGTTTGCACCTGTTTGCACCGCGTTATAAGCAGCCTTCACCCATCAATCCCCGCCAGATTGTTCTAGACCCCAGCTCTGACTTTCCAGCATTTTCTTCGGTTTTGGTATTTTGTGTTTCTGACCCGGATCGTATACTCTGACTATTCTGTTCTGCCTTGCCCTCTTGTTACGGACTGCCACTGTGTATGATTATCGGACTTCCCTTTGGACTACGTATTTTGGATCCCTTTGATATATGTGTTTGCTGGCTCTGACCTTGGACTGTGATACCGACCCGTCAGTGTGGTTTTTTACCCCGTGTCTTGTATGGTTTTTTGTTTAGCGTTAATTCTCTTATTAAAAAGATGGTTTTGTTCCTCGTCTGGCCATTTAATAAAGTTCACCAAAACCTTTTCGGCAGCATCACACGCCGATTTCTGACAAACGGCATCTTTAAAAAAAAAGACAGCAGCAAAGATTCGTGCATGCCAAA